CAATGTTTCTTTTTTAGTGCATTTATGCAAAGTCAGCTCGTCATTGGCGTGGCAACAATGTGTAACAAAGTTCACTGCAGCATCTTAATCTTCAATGATTGAGCTTTGGGTGAAAGCTTCTTTCCATCCAGGTTCATAATTTTCTTCTGAAACACCCCAAATGTGCACTTCCATTCCTGTGGATAGCTCATGTTGAGAACATAGATTAGTCCAAATAGCATGACGCATGCATGTGTGATGTTTCTCAGACCTGCTACAACCTCCATCCCTTCAATCAACACTCCAACATTCTCTGGTTCATAAATATCTTCTGAAACACCCCAAATGTGCACTTCCATTCCTGTGGATAGCTCATGTTGAGAGCATAGATTAGTCCAAATAGCATGACGCATGCATGTGTGATGCTTCTCAGACCTGCTAGAACCTCCATCCTCTCAATCAACACTCCAACATCCTCTGGCTGTTCTTCAGTCTTTGCGTTTTCTTTTCTGATTACGTAGATCCCCATGGTTGTCTGAGGAAACTCCAGCTCTATTTTGTCTACATCGACACTCTGAAAGAAACCAACACAGACAAAACCAAGTTGAATAGTGTTTGGTCATTTTAGTTAACATGCCTGCAAACATACTACGACTAGATAGATAGCTAGATAGCTAGAGCGATAGATAGGAAAAGCACAACAATGTAATTTACAGTTTTAGAAAAAATGGGCCAAAACACTGTTGTCATGAATTTACATCTTAACAAAAACAGTAGTCATTCAATTTTCATCTAATCATTCAGTTTTTGCAGGATTTAAAAATGTAAACTTTGGTTTGTTCTTATGCCTTTGCATAATCTCATCTTCAGATTTAATACTTGAGTTTGTGAGCTTGCTTCAAAAGAAACAATCCACTTTTTTCCAAAGCTGAGGTTAATGACATCACTATTCCTAAGAACCTCATAGAACCAGACATAAATACAGAAATATCCCTTTTACATATTGACTGACCGAGTATTCCTTGATGAGATCCTTGCTGTCTTCATTGAGGCAGACAAAGAGGCATTTCAAGATGCAGTCTCGCTTGTGGTTAATGTCATCACTCTACAGCAGGGAGGGAAACGTTGACAGCACTTAGTAAATTTAAATATATTTAATAGAGTATTATAATATTGGGCTGTGTGGATAACTGACAGAGCACTTGATCACATACCTTGTTTGTGAATGCCACTATTTGACGGATCTTGTTTCCTGAAACTCCACCCTTTTTGCGGAACACCTTCATCAGGTTGTCGGTGTATTTGTCCAGCTGGGAGATGAACTGAGATTCAAGGGGCATCATATTTATCTGCATGAACTCTGCATTAACCTTAAAAATAAAATTAGAAGACAAAACAAACTCTTAAACAACTTGCTTTAAGAAGCAGAAAAACCACTTTGTGGGAATGTCAAGTGTGCTGGTAGTTAACAGCAACATGTTCTAGGCTTTCCTCACTATACGTACTTCATCAACTTGAAAAAGAGCTGACCATCTGTTTTATACATACATCTTAACAAATTAAACATACATTGTAGGTGTTCCAAAATAGGCATCTGTGACCATTAAACTTAATATTAAAAAAAATATGAAAACGTATGACTTACAATTAAAGGCTACTACATGATACTTACTAGTATATGGAGGTTGCCCGGTGCAGTGTTCCACAATGGGGATGGCAATATCACAGAATATTATTCAAGGAAACTCACTATCTGCAAGACAAAATACATGCTTAGGAAAAACTTCCAATATATTAAACCGAAAACAAGAATACAAATTCATCAAGTCAATATTACACAATTTAATTAATTATTAAATTAATTATTTAATTTTATTAAGATATTAAATAGTGTTTTGTGCAACAGACCATAACTGACTAGATGTTTCAAAGCAGATCCACGCCAAGCTGCCTCTAAATGCTAGCTGCCTCACTTGTGACATTTCTAATTTCCCCCACCCTCATTAAGTATTGGTGGCTGAAAACAGTCACTAATAAAAACTGCTCTAAAATTTTATATCAGCTAAATATTTTTTCAGCTTCTTTTGCATGCGCACAAACCGTTCACATACATACACACAGGGAGCACATGACGGGCAATGCTGTGTTCAGCCACCAATGACCAGGTAAAACCAATGACCACATAAAAAAGACGTTTCAACAATTGAGGGTCCTTCCGCCAGTTTGAATTAAGACAAGGAAGACTTCCATGTATTTATGTTGATTAAATAATAGTCTTTCGTTCTAAACAGTAGTTAATACGAGTGTAAGGGTACACAAAAATCATGGTTCAGTACTTCGGTATGGTTCTCAGTTAAGGGGAAAACTAATTTTAAAAAACCATTAGCATTAGCCACACAGACTAGGCTAATCAAAGAAGTGCCGGCAGGAGAATAAACGGTCCATTTAGCTAGCGAATGGGATAGCTAATGCTAATGCGTTTTTTTAAAACAATTTTCCCCGTAACTGAGAACGAAATGTACCAAACCAAACCGCACCGAACAGTGATTTTTTGTCTAATGTTACACCCTAAGTGCAAAAAACTAAAGCTGTATAAAACATTATTTGAGTACATTAGCCCTCACTCAGGAGACACGAGGTAAAGGCGGTTGATAATGTATGTCAAAAAAAACATATTACGATCAAGCCAACATGAAAACTGACAGATATCTTAATGTACAGCTGCTACCTATTGATGAGAGCTACAAATATTCGATAAAATGTAACTTATATAAAGATATGCAGCTTACCGATAACCAGGAAAATGGAGAAGAGAGAGGAGAATTCCCGCGTTGCTGTGTCCATGCTGCTGCTTCTTCTTCGTTAGTAGCTGTAAGCCACTTTACAACGCTGGAGACGTATACTGTCACCTAGTGGCCAAACATTTATGAGACCCAATCTCGTTTACTTTATGCATTTCATTTGAATTCACTCTATAAATGAGAACAAATCACGTTGATTTTATATATTTGTGGTGTATAAAGGTTGAAAATATGCTAAATTGGGTAAAATCAATTAAATCTACCCTTATAATACCAATGACAAGAATCAAGAACCAAGAATCCTTTTTTGAGTGTACACTAAATTGTATAATTCATCCTACATCCACCCAACCGGTCGAGGCAGATGGCCGTCCCTCCCTGAGCCTGGTTCTGTCGGAGGTTTTTTTCCCCCGCGGGGGTTTTCGGTTCCTTCCCACTGTTGCGGACTGCTTGCGGACTGCTGAAGCTGATAGGGAATCCAGATGTTTTGGATTGTTGGGTGTTTCTGCCTTTGTTAAGCGCTATGAGATGACTTGTTGTTGTAAATATGCGCTACACAAATAAAATTGAATTGAACTGAATTCCTTCTAAAACCATCTGAAATATAAGAATGAAGGAAAAGGGTTACCCTTCTGTGTATAATTAACTTAAGAGAAAATATAAATTGACTGTACATAGTCAATATATATATA